CCCTGTGCTCCAGGAGGGGACATTGTCACCCCACAGCCACCCCTGGGTGTTGGCAGTGCCCCGGTGACAATGTCCTGGATGTCCCCTGTGCCCTGGGAGGGGACATTGTCACCCCTGGGTGTTGGCAGTGCCCTGGTGACAATGTCCTGGATGTCCCCTGCGCCCTGGGAGGGGACATTGTCACCCCTGGGTGTTGGCACCACCCCAGTGACATCCTGGATGTCATCAGAGCCCTCCAGGAGGGGACATTGTCACGCCACAGCCACCCCTGGGTATGTCCTCTGTGCTCCAGGAGGGGACATTGTCACCCAACAGCCACCCCTGGGTGTTGGCAGTGCCCTGGTGACAATGTCCTGGATGTCCCCTGTGCTCCAGGAGGGGACATTGTCACCCCACAGCCACCCCTGGGTGTTGGCAGTGCCCTGGTGACAATGTCCTGGATGTCCCTTGTGCCCTGGGAGGGGACATTGTCACCCAACAGCCACCCCTGGGTGTTGGCAGTGCCCTGATGACATCCTGGATGTCACCAGAGCCCTCCAGGAGGGGACATTGTCACCCCACAGCTACCCCTGGGTATGTCCCCTCTGCTCCAGGAGGGGACATTGTCACCCCAACAGCCACCCCTGGGTGTTGGCAGTGCCCCGGTGACAATGTCCTGGATGTCCCCTGTGCTCCAGGAGGGGACATTGTCACCCCACAGCCACCCCTGGGTATGTCCCCTGTGCTCCAGGAGGGGACATTGTCACCCAACAGCCACCCCTGGGTGTTGGCAGTGCCCTGGTGACAATGTCCTGGATGTCCCCTGTGCTCCAGGAGGGGACACTGTCACCCCACAGCCACCCCTGGGTGTTGGCAGTGCCCTGGTGACAATGTCCTGGATGTCCCCTGTGCTCCAGGAGGGGACATTGTCACCCAACAGCCACCCCTGGGTATGTCCTCTCTGCTCCAGGAGGGGACATTGTCACCCCACAACCACCTCAGGGTGCTGGCAGTGCCCTGATGACATCCTGGATGTCACCAGAGCCCTCCAGGAGGGGACATTGTCACCCCACAGCCACCCCTGGGTATGTCCTCTCTGCTCCAGGAGGGGACATTGTCACCCAACAGCCACCCCTGGGTGTTGGCAGTGCCCTGGTGACAATGTCCTGGATGTCCCCTGTGCTCCAGGAGGGGACATTGTCACCCAACAGTGTCCCCAGTGTCCCCTGTGTCCCCAAATGTCCCCAGTATCCCCCATGTCCCCAAATGTCCCCAATGTCCCCCATGTCCCCACAGAACTTCTCCGGGTACGACGTGTGCAGTATCCTGCTGGGCACGTCCACGCTGCTCGTCTGGGTCGGGGTCATCCGATACCTCACCTTCTTCCAGAAGTACAACGTGAGTCACAGGGGTGTCACCCCCAGGGGACAGTGCCAGGGGACAGTGCCACCCCCCAGGGGACAGTGCCACCCCCCAGGGGACAATGCTAGGGGACAGTGCCAGGGGGTGGGGGTCACCCACTACCTCACCTTCTTCCAGAAGTACAACGTGAGTCACAGGGGTGTCACCCCCAGGGGACAGTGCCAGGGGACAGTGCCACCAGCCAGGGGACAGTGCCACCCCCCAGGGGACAGTGCTACCCCCCAGGGGACAATGCTAGGGGACAGTGCCAGGGGGTGGGGGTCACCCGCTACCTCACCTTCTTCCAGAAGTACAACGTGAGTCACAGGGGTGTCACCCCCAGGGGACAGTGCCAGGGGACAGTGCCACTCCCCAGGGGACAGAGCCAGGGCTGGGGACAATGCCACCTGCCAGGGGACAATGCCAGGGGACAGTGCCAGGGGGCGGGGATGGTGAGAGCTTGGGGTTGTCCCACGGCTGCTGCCTTTGTCCCCAGGGCCATGGGGTGGGGACACTGGGGTCTCAGGGTCCCTGTCCCCTCACATTGGGGTCTCAGGGTCCCTGTCCCCTCACCTCGGGGTCTCAGGGTCCCTGTCCCCTCACCTTGGGGTCTCACAGGTCCCCATTCTCAGATTTTGGGGTCTTGCAGGTTCTTGTCCTTTGAATTTGGGGTCTCAGGGTCCCTGTCCCCTCACTTTGCGGTCTCACAGGTCCCTGTCCCCTGTCCCTGGGTTCTCAGGGTCCCTGTCTCCTCACTGTGGGGTCTCCTAGGTCCCCATCCTCACCTTGGGGTCTCAGGGTCCCTGTCCCCTGTCCCCTGTCCCTGGGGTCTTACAGGTCCCCATCATTGGGGTGTCACAGTCCCTGTCCCCTGTTCCTGGGGTCTCCCAGGTCCCTGTCCCCTCACCTTGGGGGTCTCAGGGTCCCCATCCCCTGTCCCTGGGGTCTCACAGGTCCCCATTCTCGGATTTTGGGGTCTCACAGGTCCTTGTCCCCTGTCCCTGGGTTCTCAGGGTCCCTGTCCCCTGTCTCTGGGGTCTCACAGCTCCCCATCCTTGGGGTCTCCCAGGTCCCTGTCCCCTCACTGTGGGGTCTCCCAAGTCCCCATCCTCACCTTGGGGTCTCAGAGTCCCTGTCCCCTGTCCCTGGGGTCTCACAGGTCCCCATTCTCAGATTTTGGGGTCTCAGGGTCCCTGTCCCTGGGGTCTCACAGCTCCCCATCCTTGGGGTGTCACAGTCCCTGTCCCCTGTCCCTGGGGTCTCCCAGGTCCCCATCCTCACCTTGGGGTCTCAGGGTCCCTGTCCCCTGTCCCTGGGGTCTCACAGGTCCCCGTCCTTGGGGTCTCAGGGTCCCTGTCCCCTGTCCCTGGGGTCTCAGGGTCCCCATCCCCTGTCCCTGGGGTGTCACAGTCCCTGTCCCCTGTCCCTGGGGTCTCAGGGTCCCTGTCCCCTGTCCCTGGGGACTCACAGGTCCCCGTCCTTCCTCCCAGATCCTCATCGTCACGCTCCGGGTGGCCCTTCCCAACGTGATCCGGTTCTGCTGCTGCGTGGCCGTGATCTACCTGGGCTACTGCTTCTGTGGCTGGATCGTGCTGGGCCCCTACCACGTCAAGGTGGGCTCAGGGGGGCTTTGGGGGGGCTTCACCCATGCCAGGGGACTCCCAAATCCCCACTGGACCCCGCTGGGGTGACCCTGCTGGGAGTCGTGTTCCCTTTCCCCAAATCCCTGTGCCAAGGGTTGTGTTCCCTTTCCCCAAATCTCCACATTGGGGTTTGTTTCCCTTCCCAAATCCCTGTTTTGGGGTTTGTTTCCCTTCCCAAATCCCTGTGCTGGGGGTTGTGTTCCCTCTCCAAATCCCTGTTTTGGGGGTTGTGTTCCCTTTCCCCAAATCCCTGTTTTGGGGATTGTGTTCCCTTTCCCCAAATCCCTGTGCCAAGGGTTGTGTTCCCTTTCCCCAAATCTCCACATTGGGGTTTGTTTCCCTTCCCAAATCCCTGTGCCAAGGGTTGTGTTCCCTTTCCCCAAATCCCTGTTTTGGGGGTTGTGTTCCCTTTCCCCAAATCCCTGTTTTGGGGGTTGTGTTCCCTTTCCCCAAATCCCTGTTTTGGGGGTTGTGTTCCCTTTCCCCAAATCCCTGTGCTGGGGGTTGTGTTCCCTTTCCCCAAATCCCTGTTTTGGGGGTTGTGTTCCCTTTCCCCAAATCCCTGTGCTGGGGGTTGTGTTCCCTTTCCCCAAATCCCTGTTTTGGGGGTTGTGTTCCCTTTCCCCAAATCCCTGTGCTGGGGGTTGTGTTCCCTTTCCCCAAATCCCTGTTTTGGGGGTTGTGTTCCCTTTCCCCAAATCCCTGTGCCAAGGGTTGTGTTCCCTTTCCCCAAATCCCTGTGCCAAGGGTTGTGTTCCCTTTCCCCAAATCCCTGTTTTGGGGGTTGTGTTCCCTTCCCAAATCCCTGTTTTGGGGGTTGTGTTCCCTTTCCCCAAACCCCCACGTTGGGGTTTGTTTCCCTTCCCGAATCCCCTTGCTGGGGTTTCCCTTCCCAAAACCCTCTTCAGGGGGTTGTGTTCCCTTCCCAAATCCCTTCACCAGGGGTTATTTCCCTTCCCAAAGTCCCACCACTGAGGTGACACTGATGTCACCCCATCTTTCTCCCAGTTCCGGTCTCTGTCCATGGTGTCCGAGTGCCTGTTCTCCCCCATCAACGGCGACCAGGGGTGACACAGGGTGACACAGGGGTGACACAGGGTGACACAGGGTGACACTGAGGTTCCAGGTGACACAGGGTGACACAGGGTGACACAGAGGTTCCAGGTGACACAGGGTGACACAGGGTGACACTGAGGTGACTGTCCTGTCCCTGCAGTTCCGGTCCCTGTCCATGGTGTCCGAGTGCCTGTTCTCCCTCATCAACGGCGACGACATGTTCGTGACGTTCGCGGAGATGCAGCAGCACAGCCACCTGGTGTGGCTGTTCAGCCAGGTGTACCTGTACTCCTTCATCAGCCTCTTCATCTACATGGTGCTCAGCCTCTTCATCGCCCTCATCACCGGCTCCTACGAGACCATCAAGGTGCCAGGAGAGGGGGGAGGGATGGCATGGGGGGGTCACACCCCCGGGGCTACACCTGGGTGTCACCTCACCTGGGTGTCCCCTCACCTGGGTGGCACCTCACCTGGGTGTCACCTCACCTGGGTGGCACCTCACCTGGGTGTCCCCTCACCTGGGTGTCACCTCACCTGGGTGTCCCCTCACCTGGGTGTCCTCTCATCTGGGTGTCACTTCACCTTTGTGTCCCTTCACCTGGGTGTCCCCTCACCTGGGTGGCACCTTCCCTGTCCCCTCACCTGTGTGTCCCCTCACCTGTGTCCCCTCACCTGTGTGGCACCTTCCCTGTCCCCTCACCTGTCCCCTTCCATGTGTGGCTCCTCACCTGTTCCTTTCCCTGTCCCTTCACCTGGGTGACCCCTTTCCCTGTCCCCTCACCTGTGTGTCCCCTCACCTGTCCCTTGTCCCCAACACCAGTGCGAGGGTGACACTGTGGTGTCCCAGCTCCTCTCCTTTGCCAGGGCTGTCCCCTCACCTGTCCCCTGACCTGTCCCTTGTCCCTTGTTGTCCCCAGCACCAGTGTGAGGGTGACCCCCCGGTGTCCCAGCTCCATTCTCTCACTGTGACTGTCCCCTGACCTGTCCCCTGACCTGTCCCCTGTCCCCTGTGTGTCCCCAGCACCAGTGTGAGGGGGACCCCCCGGTGTCCCAGCTCCTCTCCTTTGCCAGGGGTGTCCCCTGACCTGTCCCTTGTCCCCTCTGTGTCCCCCCAGCACCCGTGTGAGGGTGACCCCCCAGTGTCCCAGCTCCACCCCTCACCTGTCCCCTGACCTGTCCCTTGTCCCCTCTGTGTCCCCCCAGCACCCGTGTGAGGGTGACACCCCACTGTCCCAGCTCCTCTCCTTTGCCAGGGGTGTCCCCTGACCTGTCCCCTGACCTGTCCCTTGTCCCCTGTGTCCCCCCAGCACCAGTGTGAGGGGGACCCCCCGGTGTCCCAGCTCCATCCCCTCACTGTGGCTGTCCCCTCACCTGTCCCCTGACCTGTCCCCATGTCCCCTGTGTGTCCCCAGCACCAGTGTGAGGGTGACCCCCTGGTGTCCCAGCTCCTTTCCTTTGCCAGGGGTGTCCCCTGACCTGTCCCCTGACCTGTCCCTTGTCCCCTGTTGTCCCCAGCACCAGTGTGAGGGTGACACCCCGCTGTCCCAGCCCCACCCCTGACCTGTCCCCATGTCCCCTGTGTCCCCCCAGCACCAGTGTGAGGGGGACCCCCCAGTGTCCCAGCTCCATTCCCTCACTGTGACTGTCCCTTGACCTGTCCCCTGACCTGTCCCCTGTCCCCTGTGTGTCCCCAGCACCAGTGTGAGGGTGACACTGCAGTGTCCCAGCTCCATCCCCTCACTGTGGCTGTCCTTTGACCTGTCCCCTGACCTGTCCCCTGTCCCCTGTGTCCCCCCAGCACCCATGTGAGGGGGACCTCCCCATGTTCCCACAGCTTGCCTCTCCCTTTGCCAGGGGTGTCCGCCTGACCTGTCCCCCTGACCTGTCCCTTGTCCCCTGTGTCCCCCCAGCACCAGTGTGAGGGTGACCCCCCGGTGTCCCAGCTCCATCCCCTCACTGTGGCTGTCCCCTGACCTGTCCCCTGACCTGTCCCTTGTCCCCTGTGTGTCCCCAGCACCAGTGTGAGGGGGACCCCCCGGTGTCCCAGCTCCAGGCCTACATCGCTCAGTGCCAGGACAGCCCCAAGTCGGGGAAGTTCCGCCGGGACAGCTCCTCGTCCTGCTCCGTGTTCTGCTGCTGCGAGAGGTGAGGGGGCATTTGGGGCCGTTTCAGGGGGATTTGGGGCAGGTTTGGGGCACTGGGACCCCCCGTCAGCCCCCCGGGGGGAGGAGGGTCCTGGCTGGTTTGGCCGCTGATCCCACAGGGGTCGGGATTTCCAGCCCCTCTCCACGTGGGGAGTCTCTGCCAGGACCCCAAAACGACCCCAAAATCACCCCAAAACGACCCCAAAATCACCCCAAAATGGTGTGTCTTCTGCTGGTTCCCCAAAATCACCCCAAAATCCAATACCCCAAAATGACCCCGTGCCCTGGAGTCTCTTGAGAACACCCCAAAACGACCCCAAAACCCGGCACCCCAAAATGATCCCGTGCCCGTGAGTCTCTTCCTGGCACCCCAAAGTGACCCCAAAATGACCCCAAAATGGTGTTTCTTTTGCTGGTGCCCCAAAATCACCCCAAAATCTGGCACCCCAAAATGACCCCATGCCCTGGAGTCTCTTGAGAACACCCCAAAATGACCCCACACTGCTCAGTCTCTTCCCAGCACCCCAAAATCACCCCGAAACGATCCCACCCCCTCGGGTCTCTGCCGAAATGACCCCACATCCAGCACCCCAAAATGATCCCAAACCAAGCCCACCCTGAGGAGTGACCCCAAAGTGACCCCAAAGTGACCCCACAGCTGGGAGTCTCTGCCAGTCCCCTAAAATGACCCCAAAATCCGACGCCCCAAAATGATCCCGTGCCCTGGAGTCTCTTCCTGGCACCCCAAAATCACCCCAAAATGGTGAGCCTTCTGCTGGTGCCCCAAAACCACCCCAAAGTCTGGCACCCCAAAATGATCCCGTGCCCGTGAGTCTCTTCCCAGCACCCCAAAATGACCCCAAACTGGTGTTTCTTTTGCTGGTGCCCCAAAATGACCCCGAAAATTTGACCCCCCAGAATGACCCCGTGCCCTGGAGTCTCTTGGGAACCCCCCAAAAGGACCCCACACTGCTCAGTCTCTTCCCAGGCCCCCCGAAAATCCCCCCAAAACCACACCCCCCAAACCGACCCCGTGCCGGGGAGTCTCTTCCAACCCCCCAAAA